TTTTTTTTGACCATTTTAAATATTACTAATATTACTAACGTTATTTTTATATTATTTTAAATATTATTACTAACTTTATTTTGTTTATATTTTTTAAATATTATTACTAACTTTATTACTTTGTTTATATTACTTACTATTTTTTTTAAATATTATTATCATTTTTCATTTTATATTTTATATTATATTAAATAGTACTTTTATTATTATAAAACATTTGTATTTTATTGTATTTTATATTTATATTTTTTTAATAAATAAATAAATTTAAATTAAAATAATTTTAAATTGTCCGGAAAATGTCCAATTTTGCATTTTAAAGAAATCGAACATTGAAATTCCGGACAACAACATTTTCCAGACAAAATGAATGTCCGGAAACTACCAAGCTTTGGAACATATTCCAGACAACGGACATGTCCAGAATTTGTACATTTTTTTCAATACATTTACCTGTTAAATTTCGGACATTTTTTTTTATAGGGAGACTTAATCATTAGATATGGATCTTTTGGTTGGTTAGAGGGAATTTCCGTTGATTGGTCAATCCAAACGGGTTTGAAATGGAGCCACGGGGGATAGTTGTAGTTTTGTTTTTTGTTTTACTTTATTTTGTTTATTTTTAATTTAATTCAATATTTGTATAAATTCAACTTAAATATAATAAAACTTACAACAGTACCACATAGTTAAAAAAAAATAGGGTTTCACATTTCGAAAAATTCTGTCCACAGAATACTTATGAAAATGGGAAATGCAGACGCGGTGATTTTTTGTTTGGTTACGCTAGGAAAATCTATGATCGTAACTCGATTTAATAGCAAACCTCCCATATAGCTTGTGATGGGCCGGTTCGGCTTACGCAAAGCTCTAAGTATAACAAATCTTTAAATGACTGAAATGTTCATACCATGGAACCGTCTAAACCACTACTTTTTTATTCCCTTTTTTGTTATAAAAAACTTTTTGGTGTCACAAATTCACATGGTTTATCTTGCTAAAGTATTTATGCCGAATTCAGATTTATTATTTATTCCATATCAAGTAATTTAATTCTTCAAGCGAGAATTGCCACAAATGTTATAATCTAGTATTTACAATCGATCATCATTTCATCATTTATGGATTGTTTTTGTTTCCAGAAAAGGCATATCTATTTTGTGTAACTGTTAAAATAAATCTGGTTTTAAAAATGAAATATATATAATGGTTAACAATTATTTTTTTTTCTTTTTTCTTGTTTTCGATACATCATATCGTTATGCAAATTATCAATACTAACCAAGGTCCCGATAATTTTGGTAAGTATACGATAATTTTGAATGAGTGTGAATTAAACAAGAAAAATATTATTTTACAAAAAAAAAATCCTGGCAGTCGAGAATTTTCAATAATTAGTGATTAACAAAATTTTTATAATATCGTGAGCAATTTAAATTATATACTCTCTTTACATTATATATCGAAGACATTTAAATTGAAAAATGAGGCCAGTGTTGTCATAGGATAATGTTGGAGAAATTAGAAAAATTGGAACATAAAAAATGTACATATAATTAATCGATTATTTTCCTATATCAATACGTTATCAAAGAGTTTCAGACGGATATAAATGACTCAATTATCCTTGTCAATCCATCGACGACGTCTGCGCCAACGAGTGGAATGGAAACTAACAACGTTGCAAATCCAAATCAACAACCACCAATCGAACTATTTCAAAAAGATCCTTCTGAGCCTTCAGATGTATATCTAGGGAAAGAACAACAAGATGAAAATATTCTCAATTTTCAAGCTAACGAATCTTTATCCAATGAACATCAAGGACGAAATAAATCAGAAAACGTAATTTCATCCGGTAGAGACCAACTAGTGAATACAACCATGTTCGACAACATAAATGACATTGAGATGCAAAAAAACAAATCTACACAAGACTTAATTGAAAGTATTCCTAATTTATATCGTTTATTAGACTTATGCAAAGACGATGGTTCGAATGGTCTTGGTATTATTCTTTACAAATTTGAATTTTGAATGGATTAATGAAAGATTATTCACAAATGTATTACATAATTTATTAGTCGATAAAACAATTATTTCCAAGGATTTTCTAAAGAAACTATGTAACGATATGGTTCCATCAAGTTTTAAGTCTATTTCTGAAATCAATTATGCAGAATTGAACTCAATTTCTGTTCGCCTTATTGGATGTTACGGAAATCGCCATTTAATTGCAAAACTCTTGTTGAATCTAGAGATTATTAATCAACAAATGTATTAAGATTCTATTATGATGAAAAATTATTCTAATAGTCAAAATCAGATTTTAATTTTGTTCTTTTATTAGATATGACTTGCTTATTGTCTCGCAGCCTTCTATCGACAACTCAAATAAACCTTTTTTACATCCTGGTATTTACTTACTGGTTTTGAATCCAGATTTTGGTTTAGTTATTCATTGGCCCGAAGTAGGATGCTACAAGGAAAATGCTCCTTCACAATGTAAAAAGAATATGACTAACCTACATAGGTATCATCTATTTTTCAGCAGGCTAATTTCTAAATGTTTAAAGTTTAATTAAATTTTAATTTTACAAAACCTATAGATATCTGACTAAGGTTACCGAGCATCAGCTTTGCCTTATGAGTGATGAAGATTTAGAAAGTTTCGATTGGAATTTATACAATACCGAAGTTGATTCAGACGACGATAAAGGGATTCATGAATTTGAAGTCAAGAAAAGTCAAGAAGTACAGGATGACTTTAAAATCTGTCCCGGCTTTAAGGTTTATATTTAAACTTGTTTATGCTGTATAAAATATATTATTAAATATTTTTTTATTTATTAAGGTGAATTTATCCGATAAAATTAAATCCGAAATACAAAATACTCAAGAAGATGGTGTACCCTTGCATCCTATTGGTAATAATTTGTGAAATGAATATATTTAAAAATTCAATTATTTAACCTATTATCATTTTTGATTTAGTTATTGAATCTGCTAAAAATCAATCGTTTGTTACTCGGAGATTAATAAATGAGACTATTCGTCCGCAAGTATTCCATTTATGGCTTTATATATCGGAATTCTCACAAGAACTTCAGTCCAGATTACAAGGACGACAATTATATATTGATCGTAAAACAATGGACATGAATTCATTAGAAATCTTGGTCATACATGGATTAAAAATGGAGGAGCTTTTGGGACCATTTCGTAAGAAAATACAAACTGCAAAATTGCAGTATGAAGAAATGAAGAAGCATGAAATTGATACAATAAAAAAAGATTGTGATATCATTTCCAATTTAGCACGGAAAAAATTAAGTGATCGTTATAGGTATGTATATTTAATTTTTCTTTATAATGAAAGATAATTATTAATAGATTGTCAGGCTTTTTGAAGAGCTAGATCGAGAATCCTCGCAAATCCCGTCGTTACGAGAAAATGTAATTGATATAAGTGATAAGGGTTAAGTATTTTATTCTTTAAGGATTATTTATAATTATTTTTTATTAATAAGTTCATGTTTTATTAATTTAGATTTAGAAAGGATCCATTTAAAATATCCATATAAAGAAGGACAAATTGATGAAGCAATTAAAATCAATTCCAACAATTGGAATAAATTGAAATGTCGATATATTTTAACTTCGACAATTATTTTTGATATCTTGGAAATGAATGAAGAATCCGCAAAACATGTTTTTTATGATTTTTTCAAACAAACTGATAAAAAATCATATTTTATTTCAATATCTATTAAAAAGTTTAATGATATATTATTTATAGATTTTGTACATGAACTTATTAATTCCGAAATTTTGACTAAGAAGAAATATATGACCAAAAATCTGAAAGATATAAATTTTGTACAAGATTTAATTAGTTCCAAAAATATGTTAGATATAAAATCTATAAAAGACCTTATGAATTTAAAAAATATATCAGATGAAATATTTATACTAGATCTTGTTAATTCATCGTTTCTTGGAGAGGATAAGAAAAATTTAATAAGTATTTTCTTTGAAGAATACAGAAAATGGAAAGTCATCTTTTCTAATGAAATTAAAGAAATTCTACAAAAAGATTCTCTCATTCAAAAATTAGCACATCACTTAAAGGAAGAATTTGAGCAAGAAAAGCGAAATATTGAATCTCGTGAATTTCAAAGGCTTTGTAATGTAATAGAAGAAAAATATCAAAATAATGGGTAAGTCTTAATTATATAAATATTATATTATATTGATTAATCGGTATCAAATAATTTTAATTTTTTTTTTTTTGTAAAATATTCAATAGAAATTCGCGGATGAATATACAGAGTATAACAGGTGATTGGTTATAAACTTTATAAATGATTAATGACATGCTATTTTAACATACTATTTAATATTTTAGCAAGTTATCCTTGTAACTCTAATTATCCGGCTAGGGACGATAATTATTTCTGTTTCAAACATGAGCTTGAAATAATTGAACCAAAACAACTACAATTAACAATTTGCGAGACATCATTAGATCAATCAGAGTCCTTTCATCTACATAAGGAAGAGTTTTATATCCCAACACCAAGATTTAGTTCATGTGTTACTTTTCGGATTGATTCTTCAATTTACGATTTCAGGTAATGATTAATGATTTTTGATTTTCTTAAATTATTTTTTTGTCATCTGATAATATTTATAAATCTCAGAAAAATATCCCAATTTGAAAATCGCAAATTTCTTCTTGTGCTTTACAATAAAGAAAACCAAAAAATTGAGATATTCTTTGACACTGCTCAACGGTTAGAACATAATTTCAAATATTTAATTAAACCATTTAAATCTTTGAATATAGATGAAAATATACTTATTGCGGTTAATGAGCCTAAAGAGCTAATCGCTATATATGACACAAAAAAAGTTAGTAATAATATTTAAAATAATATAAAAATAACGTTAGTAATATTAGTAATATTTAAAATGGTCAAAAAAAA